AATAAATTCTATTGACAAAATCATATACTTACAAACTGATAATTTACTACATGAGGAAACAAGATAAGAATTCTAATTTGTACATTATTTTATGAATAAACTAAGTATATACTTATTTCTTGATAATTTATCATATAAGTAAAGGAGCAGAAAATGTTTAATAGAGAATTCTATTGACGTTAAGATTCATATAGTCACCTCCAAAAGTTTAGCACAGGCACACAAAAAATAATATATGTACAAATCAATGATAAAATACAGCTGACTTGATATAAAAAGTTACTGGGTCTAGCCAAAATCTTTCTTATACAGAGATTTTAGACTTTTTTTATAAAAATTTTCAATTGGGACTTGTAAATATTTCTTATGTATAATAAGAGTTTTTTATATCATTAGTATAATTAACATAGATTTGTGTTATATTTTTGTATAACTATGTTAAACTTTCAGAGGTGACTGTATATACATTATTTTATAGAAAAACTCACACTTACACCCTTAGTTGCTTAATAATACCAGTATATTGGTTTATCTATGTAGGTTATACTGAAAAATAAAATAAAAAATAAATAAATAAAGAATAGATAAAAAAAAAAATAAAATAAATATGAATAATAATAATAATACTAGAAAAATAAACATTTTAAGTCAACAGCAATATTTTTTCATATAGATAGAATTTATATATTTATAGTTATAATATTTAAATAATATACAATATTCTCTTTGGGCTGCAAACTACATTTATAACTGTTTAATATTTTAAGTAATATATTATAAAGAAGCTTATATACCATATTCTGCTTATCGACTCAAGAGGTCTCTAACTAGTAGTGATTTCACTACTCCAAGTTTTGTTGGAATTTTTAAATTGATTGTATATTCATTACATTCCTGAATTGCGACTCACGTATCTTGATTATTTGCCATAGCAATAATTATAGCCTTGACTGCCTTATGTACAAAGATGTCGAGCTTTTTAAGCATTTCTGAGTCTCATTTTAATACCATCAGATCAGTGTCTTTTAGATATAAATGAAGTGTTTTTTTCTATATTTCATCACTAATAAATGTAGATAATTCATTATCTAACGTTTTATCCTTCCTAAAATTAATTATTATTTTGGTTAGATATATCTTTATTGCACTTTATAATGTATATAAATCTTTTATATATTGTACAATTTCAGACTGGTTAACAGATACAATTACTACTAAGTATGGATGCACTCACCAATTATGGGTTAAGGTAAACTGTTCTGCAAGTTTTGAAATTGACTTGTGAAAATTATAATAAAATGTGTTATACCAGGAACCTACATCTTTAAACAATGCTGGCATACAACAATCAATTTTTGTAATTTTACACACTTGTGAAATTAACTCCTCATATAACTCAGTCATGTTGTTCCTCATACAAAGGAAGAGTGCTTTGCACTCTTCCTGTAAAAGGAGTTTTGTACACTAAAATTGAAGCATATATATAAGTCTCTGTTACATACTAATAATTGTGGCAGATCAAAATGAAATCTGATTGAAAAGTTTACCTGATTAACTTCTGGAGCATTTAGCATAGAGTTATATAATTTACTAATATTAATTTAGTAAAGAGTTGCATGATTGACTAGTATTAAAGTGCAATTTGCTATTGTTATTAATATTTAATACTTGAGTCGTCATTGCATTGTGAATCATCGTAGCTAAATTTAGAATTCTTGGATGCTGCGCCATCCATAGCATGATTTCGAATTCATTAGATGTGTCAAGAAGCTT